TCTTTCAAATAATGACGTCACCATATCACGTGACAAAAATGAACGAAAATAGGTTATCCGAAAATTGCCGAAATAAAGCGATTAAATAAGGGGGCAGGGGACATAAAAATGAACAATTTTGTATTTCTGTGTAGCCAGAAACACAATTCTAAATATTTCAAAATCTGTTTCACAGGCAGATAACCAGTTGCACAACATTATTTTCAATGATATATGACATAGATTAAAGAAAATAATAGTTTGCATGCATTGCTCCTTAAAAAATGACCGACAGCAATTTATATTTACCCCCCCCCCCACCGAGCCAAAATTACGCGTAAAAAATACCAATATAGGCAATCTTCATGAAGGCGCAGCATACTCCAGAATCCGCCCGATTCCTAAAAATATCACTAACGCACAGTGCAAGCAATGGCATTTTCAAAAATGACCAATAAAGTGTCCGTCATACGTTTAGATTTTTCACAAAATTTATCCGAAATTTCGTACTTGTTTGGCGCAAACTTTCAAAAATTGATTTTTAACTTTTTCACCTCCATTGGGAGAGTTACAAATACAAACAAAGCTACCAAAATGCTTAGTTTCGGGTAAAAAAACCCCAAAATACTTCTCATTTTCTACACACAAACAAGAAAGAATTACAATGACAGAGAATTATCAGAAGTTCCCAGTACCTTCTAAACACCATGTCTGAGTTATTAAAAAAATTTGACCGGGGCCATCAGTCGGATATGTCCCCTGCCCCCTAAGTATTTTGTTCTGTTCTGTTTTGTTCTATTACCCGAAATTAGTTGATATTGACGGATTAATCCTTAACCCTTTCATGGACGTTTCCTTATTTGTGAACATCATTTTCACCAGAAATCGATTTCAATAATGAAGATAAGTTCACAGTTACAGTTTCCAAAGAGTCACTCTTTGGCCATATAGATAAACTATCTTTTGCTCCTTTTCTCTTTGGGAAATTGTATGATTAAGTATTTTGTATGGAAGTCAAAATACTTTATATTTTGCTACCTGAACCACGCATTACTTCATATTCTATGTTATTACCCCTCACTTTTTTCGTATTGTTAATTTCCCATAGGCCTCTTGGAGTTATTCTTACTGTTAATGCAAGTGTACCACGTGACTAAGAATTTTGTACTATTAAATAGGTTACAGTATTTTTTTAACAGTATAAAATCTGGTCACGTTGTCTATTTTCTAAATAAAATGAAATAAAATGGCCACCATTTTTCTCTCGATTCATTCTTATTTTCGACGATAGGGCCTGGGGCATCACCAAAGTAACTATGACTCTCATAAAATTTAGTTCTTTGCACCCTAGAGTTCTTTTCGCGTATAAAATATATTTTTGTTGAATAGTCAAAAAGTAAACATCCGTTTTCAACGGAAGTTATTGTAATGTGAATAATTTTGTGTGCAGACGATCAAAGCATGCAACAAAGGATTATTTAACAATTTAACCAGTGAAACGTTACAGATAGACATCTGTAGAATATCATCGTTAATTTGTAAATGCACTTTGTCAAAAACCATGCGAAGAATATTCTGGATACAGAATGATCAGATTTCACAGATCATAACCTTATAAATGGGTTAGTGTTTTGTTTTCTAAATAAAACATAGCTTATTGGTATGTTTATGTCTGGTAGATATAATCACTTGCTTAAAGAATAAAAGAAAAAGAAAACTTCTCAAGTAGGCCTAAATACACTTAAACTTAAACAGTTAAAAGGTAAGGACAGTATAGTTATTGTTACTCTTGGTTTATTTTTGTTACAGTTAGATTTAGTTGACAATTTCAGATCATCACAGTGTTTTTGTTCGGGGTAATAAAATAAATAACACATGGGTTTGTGAGTAACAGTAAAAATATCATCCCTCGTTAAAGTACTACGCCTCGGGTAACAGTATTTTCCTCGGGATGATAGTTTTATTGTTACCCACATACCCATGTGTTATTTATATACTGTTACCCGCAAACCCATGTGTTATTTATATACTTCTCACTTAGTTGTTAAAATGCTCTAAATCCATTACTTAAACATTGATTACATATTTGACCCTTTTAAAGAATTAAAAATTATTGATTTCTGAGGCATAATATGCCTTTAAAGTAAAACACAATAAAAATATTATTACAGTTTTCAAGAAATTCATAAAGAAAGCTTTCATATTTGTTTATATATTTCTTTAAAAAAATGGACATTTTAAAAAGGCTTTTATGGGAAAAATGTTATCCCTTTTTATTTCTGTGAATGAAATACCTGTTGTACATGTTAAGTGTGAAAAAATACTTTATTGAATTTCACTTGTTAAAACTGACTGTCATTGAGCTGATTTGAATGACTTTATTGCTGTTTTATTACCTTTAAATTAAATTTAAACCATGAGAAACAACGATGAGTTTTGTTGTAAGAAGGTTTACAAACCGACTTTTATGATAAAATGCAAAAACGGTCATAAATCAAGTTGAATTTGATATGTACGTACCGAGGAAAGTAGTTTTTAAGTTGACTAAAAAATCTCTTAAAACTAAATATATAAAAATTGTGTCGAACCGGGTTTTTTTCTCTTTTTTTTTGTTGTTGCTTTCATCAAATATAGAATGAATGCTTGCAAAAACAGCTTTCAAAACAGATAATACACTGAAGCAGTAGTAAGTTTTATCTAATTTGAATGATAGGCTCGTGACATGCGCAAACACGCCTGTCAAATCAGAACATACGTTTACATTTTGTCCTTAACGCTATGAAATTCCATTTAACACTTTATGAAAATAATTAAGGATACTGTAATAATGATGTTCTTTTTAATAGTCATACATGTATACTAGTAACCTGAAACATTTGACCTTTAACTTGATTTCTGTACATTTTCTACAGCAAAAGATTGTTCTCGCCAATGATGAGTTAAATAAAAAACAACACACGTTATTGTCTTCTCTCTTAATGGCTTTACACGGGTCAACTATTAAATAGAAAAAAGATGATAATTATTATGAATGCGTCTATAGCGATAAATATGTACTTGAATACAATAAATATAGCCCCAGTTAAAGTACAAGTCCCCCCCCAGGAACTTTGGATGCTTTCATGTGTGGAGGAATCATACTAGCTTACGGAACGTCGTTGGTTTTACTCTGGTCCAACCCCCCACCCTCACCCGTGCATGTAATAAAGCACCATAGATCTTCCTCCATCAGTTCAAGTGAAACGTCGCCATAAGATCTTGTGACTTATTCAATGAATATTACATCATGAGTCCATTATCTAGATTACATTTTATATATGTTTCATAACCATGCCTTGAACATTGTCAGCTGTTGGAAACTTAACAATTTTCATCTAGAAAAAAAATATATTGTTTAATCACGACAAGTGAGTAAATTAATTCTTTCAGATAAAAAGTTAAAAAAACTGAGAGACATAGCAGTGGCCATAATACAATACATAATACAATAAATTTTAAGATTTCTGAAAATTCTCTTGATTTTATATCACCTGTTATTAAAAAAATACTTTCCCTTTCCTTGTCTGAAAGTTCTGGGAAAAAATGGAAATTCCCTCGGGGGTGGTATTTAAATATCGGTACTAATTTTTTGAAAAGCTTTTAGTATCAATATTTAAATACCACCCCGAGGGAAGAGAAAGTGATATTCAGATTCAACTTTCTTTGCGTATACATAGTTAACATAACCCGTTTTCTGTCAATACCAAGCGAAAGAGAGCCCAATCTAAAACAAGCGCTTTACGTAATAAATCGTTTGAAATTAATCAAATTTAAGCAATTTTCATACATTCAATTAATTGTATCAGATCAGATTTGAATGAATTGACCCTTAATTTATTTTTAAATAACCAGCATAATTTACATTTGGAGTAAAACACATACAAATAACATATATACAAATATATATAATGGATAATAATGCATAATCTTATGCAACTTGTCGATTGCTTTTATTTAATAATCACCCCAGATTTCTGAGCCATATATTATTATTGGAACAACGATACAATCATAAAAGTGCAATTTTGTTTTGATATCTAACTTGTGTCTGTCAAATAACTACAGAAGGTTATGAGAAGGCTCTTGAAGCTCTTTTAGATAAAGGCTTTATTGCACCTTTAAAGGTTCCAGTATTTGTGAATTTACCACCTGGATAATGGCAACTTTCTCTCTCCGAACAATGTATTTCATCCCTGCATTGTTATATCTACTGATATTTTTCTGATGCTTAATTAATAACAAGAAAGATAAGAATAGTGAATTTACAGTTTTTTTCCTGGTGGAGGAAGACTTCAGATACAACTCCGTGCAATACTGCAGTCTCAAACGGCCACCTGAGTAAAACTGCAAGGATCCATGCTGTTCGCCTACAGACCCCATTACAAGAAGAGAAACTAAAAGCGAACAGCATGGATCCTGATCAGATTGCGCGGATGCGCAGGCTGGTCTTGATCCATGCTGGTCGCAAACGCACCCATTACGCGGCTCATATTTACATCGGCTATTTGGAAAATAGGGAGAACTATTAAACTCACTCTTTTGTCGGCGTCCGTGTCACTGGGAAGTTGGTATATTCGAAACGTCTAGAGGGAATGGGTTATTTCTTCAAATTATGGACTCAGGTTTCATAACCCTGAGTTTCCTTTTTAACAGAGTTATGCCCCTTTTCTTATTGAATAATCGAGTACAACTCTTGTTTTCTGTATAGTAATTTCACATGGTTTAAATAACTCGAATGTTATATAAATCTTATTCGCTACTAAAAAACCGTAACAGCTACTACGTAAAATGTCATAACTTTATACAGTATATGTCTTTTAAACCCCGTATAAAACATCTTTAAACACTTTACTTTTGTGATGGCAGATTTATTCCTGTACAAGTAAACAATTACTAGTTATGCTTACCCATGCGATAAGGAGTACACATTTCAGTTATTATATAATAGTTGATGCTTGACCAAAAATGATACTTGACCATTTGATAAAGATTTTATCTGCGGTGTGTTTAAGTCTAACTATGCGAATATCTCTCTCATAACATTGTGACAATCATGGCAGGCGGCACTTCTAGTATAATAGATGTTTCTTTATAATATTTTATGGCTAATTAAAAATCTAATATAGCAATGGATTAATTTTTTGCGTAGGAAAATGGATGGTGTCAACATAAAAACGTTGGGTTCTTTTATAGGAATGTTTGTAATCTGCTTGTTCGTTATAACACTATGTGAGTAATTTTTTGTAACTTTGTCGTATCAATATATTGGACATTTGCTTTTAAATTTGAAAAAAAGATCTGTTTTGTCAGTTGGTATTTGCACTTTTTTACTATATTGTTGTTTAGAACTATTTTATTACTCTTTTTAACATTATACATTTTTTTGTATTATCTTTATTCGTCTTATTCATATAATTTACAGTAAGTGTTTATCTTTCTCGCCGGTCATTGGCAATTTGTTTTCATTATAAACGCATCTTTCTTTTATATTGTAGGCTATTTTTACGTTATTTTTTCCCATGCTATTCATTGCCGGTTATTGTCGGCTATTTGCCTATTTGCTATTTGCACTTACTACATATTGTCGGCTATTTGCTTAAATGCTTTTTGCACTTTTTAATTATCGGTTATTTTCTATTATTCATTTGCATTTACTTCATATTTCGGCTTTTTGTCTATTTGCAGTTACTTCATATTGTCGCTATTTCCCCAAATGCTATTTGCATTAACTTCATATTGTCGGCTGTTTGCCTTTTTGCAATTTGCACTTACTTTATATCATCGGCTATTTGCCTATTTGCTAATTGCAATTATTTATATTGTCCCTTAATTTCCCTTTTGCTATTTGCACTTACTTCATATTGTCGGCTATTCGCATATTTGCAATTGTACTGACTTTATATTACCTGTTATTTGCCATTTTTTACCTACAATAAAATCGCTTTTTATTTTATCGTTGGTTTTTTGACATAAGTCTGTCTAATATCTATCATAAAGTCACGTTTTTTTTAGTTTGTCATATCCATATAATAACACAATTAACAATTCATGCCACTTTAACCATAAATATTCATATTTCTTAAGCTAACAATACAGTTAACCTGTTTTTTGGCATCAGTTTTGAATGAGACTAGAGTTGTTTTTGTTCATTACAGTCTTTCATATGTACTGATATATAATAATAATACTTAAAATTCTATGCATGCTGTGAAAGGTAATGCGGGTATATGACATTTTATGAAATATTTGACTTTTGTTTCAATAACAATAAGACTGCATTATAGTTTTCATCTCAACTTATGTCAGTTTTTTTCCGGATCAGTCCTCAACTATTTTAACAAAATTCTCTAATCTTAAAGGGACTCCACTGAGGTTTTTTGACATGAAGGGACTGGAAATATTTTCCCGAGATTTGTGTACCATTTGATATAGGTCTAGACCAATTAGTAGTGTGTAAATTTTCACACCATTCTGTAACTCCGTTATTGCTGAATCATCATTTTTTAATGTGCAAAATGGCCCAAATATGAAAAGCGTTACAACGCTTTACTCAAATTTTGCTATAAATTACACATCAATCGATTTTTAATGTAATCCTTATAAGCCTTTTCCGATGGTTTCATTTTTGGTGTTTCAAATGATCTATATATGAATTTCAATTTGTATGTTTTTAGGTGTTTTTTTTATCTCAGTGGAGTTCCTTTAATAATTGATCTGTTCTAAATAACTTTAAAGATATTTCCGTTAATTATCGTGTACATTTTGCATATATTTGTAATGAACATACAAAAATGATAGCAATAAACAATATTGCCTCAAATGTTTTATCGACAATTTTCGAAACTAAAAATTGAATGCGTTTCAATTATACAATAGGTTACTTTAATTATCTAAAAAATAAACTTTTGTTTCCATGGAAACCTTTTTCATTAGGATATATTTATGTATGATCCAATTACCTGATCTTTGTTATTGTAAAAGGTTCAGTGGCTGTTAGAGTTACACCGAAGAAGTGCCAAGAAACAAGATATCTGAAATCAATAGTACAACACCGAGTTCCATTTTGTTTAATATCATTTCCCTTGTAAATATACTATTGCAGTGGCGTCACTTTTCGAAATATCAGGTTCTAGTTTATTTTCATTGCTTCGAGTCCATTTTAGAGTACAGTTGTCCGTGATCTTTTGTACCATAAAGTGCATCCGCGAAGACGACTCGTTTTCCTAGATAAATAGATAGATAAGATAGAGTTCGAGGCAGAAATTCTATTTGTCAACATTTTGATATGATCATCGTCATCATAAAATATAAAATCAACAATTAACATTAGGAAAGAGCCCAGTCCGTATAGACGAAGTTTTTTCAAAGATACAGCTTGTACGTGTATCAACCACCTCCAACTATTATCATATCAACTCATTTTGCATTACATTTTTAGTATATGTAAAACATTATATATAGGAAGTAAAATTAAAGACAGACTATCAACTTGATTTGTATTTAATGCACAGAATCAGACATATATTGTTTGTAATGGATTTAATTTGGAAACAAATAGATTCTGGTAATTTAATGCAAACTCACATGTTTCGAAAACCATTTTATGAAGATATCTCCCTTAAAATAATTGTCGATTTGTGTTCTCCAAAAGAAAAAAAGTGGCAAAATGCATTAATATCACTTGTTATAGATAGATAGAATATGTAAACGGGACCAAAAAAAGTTATAACATGTAATCGAATAAATTCGACGATAAAATGATGATAAATTACTACAATGTTTCATTTATGATGATGCTTCCTTAGATCTGAGTTTACTCGTGTTCGGTGAAGGCGTTGTCAAACTACAGTAATTTTCATTTATAAGGATACCGCGTATACCGATATACCGCTCATAACGATGCTTTTACTGAGGTCCCGACTCTTGTTTTCAAATCGGTTGCCTCTCGGATATAACGGCATCCGGATATAACAATATAGATTCAGCGGTCTCCTAATTATCGTTATAAGCGGAGTTCACTATTAATATTTGAGGTCTAGCAAATAACACCTAAACACCTGCAACCATTTGGCTCATTGGCATCACTCACAATTGGTTTTAATAATGTTTTTATTTACGGTTGCCAGCGTAAATTCACATTACTAAATTCGGTTTCTCATTTTGTGATATAAGATGATATCTAAAGACAAAGCGATTTTCCAAAATAGAGTGATTTTTTCAAATTCTATGGATTTTTTTTTTCAAAATTCAAAATAAATACGAGTAGGCCACAAACACCCTTACGAATCATTCATACATAGATCTTTGGCTACAAGTCTCATAGGAAAGACGTGTACTTATTTTTGTTGGTCTAGAGGGATGTTGAGCTCATGACCCAATGATTTACAATCGGAAATTGTTGTGGACATTTATACATAATACGATGTTATAATCATTTATTACCCCTCACTATTACTGGATATATTTTTTGTTACAGTTTTGATGTATACAAGATTTAAAATAAATATTAGTTTGTAAAATTTTATAGCAGCAGTAACAACAACATAAACAAAATATAAATCAACAAAAAATATAGCCATCAAATTTAATGAAAATACAATTCAATAGATAAGGACATTATTGCCGTGTGATTTGATAAATGTCATAGGGATTTCAAATATATTTCAACCTTTAAATAAGCATATTAACATATTGATAATTTCTGCAAAAAAATGCATTAAATCGTGATAAATGTATATTGAATACAAAATGTATTTCAGTGATTGAACACAGTGAAAATAAGAGCTTAAAATTATTTGCTATAAAATGGAAAGTAATACGAACCAAGCTTTTGTTTTATTGTGCTGTTTTTTAATAAGTATATTTTATCATAAATCTAGATTTTGTTACTATATTTATTGCATTTTCTTCCATACAGATTTATTCAGTAACAGATTTCGAATTCTTCTTTATTTCTTTTTCATTAGATTTAGATTAAAGTTTTTGTCACTGAAAGTGTAAAGACATAAACATAACTACAAAAGAGAATTTACAATATGGGTTGATATGATAATTATGAATATATAGTGTTATTAAAAAACTGGCAGTTGTTTTGTTTTGTATTTTTTTAAGAAAGGACAAATTTTGTTTGACCCGTATTAGAGAATGATTTCAGAATATGATACTTATACGAGTATAGAAACATCTTAAGCGTTTAATGTTTTACTCTTGTAATCGTGACGGCAAAATGTGAAATAATGATATTTATATACATGTACATAAATTGGCAGTCAGTTCTTGTTTAGCAAACTTTGAATGAGTATATACATTGTATGTTACCTATTGGCTCATTTCTAAAAATTATCTTCTCTTTTTTTCAGATGAAGTACAAAATGTGTTGAATATATCAAAAATTCCGACGGTATCTATCAGAATGAACAGAACCGAACAGTTGACAAGGGGAGGTAAACAAACGCCACTAAATTTTACCCTAAATTCGCTGGAACCATAAGATTTCCGTATTTTCATTGTAAATAATTATTTTTTCCCTATTTTCACAGGTATCTTGCCGAACTAGTTACTTCTAAATTCGGCTTATAAACACAATTAAAGGTCTTTCGAATTGTAAGGTCAGAAAAGAGAAAAAATGTATATACTTCACTGTACTTATAAGGAATGTATGAATTTTCTATTTTAGATGGGAGACTTCAGTCCACCTCACAGTTCCCTAAAATGGTACTGGTTTTAACGTACATGCGATCAGGTTCGAGTCTTACAGGAGATATTCTACAACAAAGTTCAGAGGCATTTTACGTATATGAACCATTTAGAGCCATTGAATCTCGAAATTCATCCACGTATACTATTTCATATGTAAACGGGACCAAAAGGTAATTATTATAGCGGCCTTCAGATTTATTTTTGTTGTCCTGGGAGCTATTTATAGCACGTCAGTGACGTGTGTTTCTAAAAATAGAAGATCGTGAAACGAATCGGTCGCTTCACTCATTTGCATATAGAGAGCGGACCGGTAAATTAAAGCTATCGAGGGGTTTCCTTATTGTTTATGTATTTTATCGACGACAAACTTCATCTTTTGATTTGAAAATTATATGAAACGATTTATCTAAAAATTATATAGTTAACCTTTAGGATTACTGAAAGCAGCTTTAAATATTTAAAATGTACATTTCATTTGTTATGCTTTCCATGTAAACGGGACATAACAGGTGATTAAAAACAAAGTAAGAGCAAATTCCAATTGTACATTTTATTCATTCTGTTTTATTGTTTTTACATGGAATATTTCTAACAAAACATGAAAAGAACACCTTACTTTACAAGGCTACATATTTTAGAGCAGAATGAAACACATTTTACAGGATGGTATTTCATCAATTCATCAAAATAAAACAGTAAAAGCTTTAATGTTTTGTAGTATATAAATAACACATGGGTTTGTGGTTAACAGTAAAAATATCATCCCGAGGAAAATACTGTTACCCGAGGCGTAGCCGAGGGTAACAGTATTTATACGAGGGATGATATTTTTACTGTTACCCACAAACCCATGTGTTATTTATTTTATTACCCCGAACAAATGGATCGATTGTGATGATCTGAATTTGGCAACTAAATCTAACTGTAACAAAAATAAGCCAAGAGAAGCAATAACTAAACTGTCCTTACCTTGCAAGTTTTAAGTGCACTGTAGGCCTACTTGAGAAGCTGTTTTTCTTTTATTTTTTAGGCAAGTGATGATATCTACCAGTCATAAACATAAAATAAGCTGTGTTTTATTCAGAAAGCAAAACACTAACCCATTTATAAGGTTATGATCTGTGAAATCTGATCCTTCTGCATCCAGAATATTCTTCGCATGGTTTTTGACAAAGTGCATTTAGAAAATAACGATGATATCCTACACATGTGTCCACAAACTCTATCTGTAACGTTTCACTGGTTAAAATTGTTAAATTACCCTTAGTTGCATGCTTTAATTGTCTGCATGTTCCAGTTTGACACAAAATTATTTATATTACAATTACTTCCGTTGAAAACGGATGTTTCCTGTTGACTATTCAACAAAAAGATATTTAATACGCGAAAGGGACTCTAGGTTGCAAAGAACTAAATTTTATCAGAGTAATAGTTACTTCGGCGATGCCCAATCGTCAAAAATAAGAATGAATCGAGAGAAAAATGGCGGCCATTTTATTTCATTTTATTTAGAAAATAGACCACGTGACCAGATTTTATACTGTTAAAAATACTGTTACCTATGTAACAGTACAAAATTCGTAGTCACGTGGTACACTTGCATTAACAGTAAGAATAACTCACAGAGGCCTATGGGAAATTAGCATTACGAAAAAAGTGAGGGGTAATAATATAATCTAACATTTCATGGTTATTTTTGAAAGAGGTTTATCTTATATCAATTGATAAATTCCCCGTGCGATTCAATAAGTAAACATCAAAGGGACCGCCCTCAAGCTATAAATAAGCACAGATATAGTACTGGATTTAGTTATAACATTTAAAAATGAATTGATTACAATGCGTCCGTGTGAGAATGACGCATCTAAATAAATATTTTATCTTGTCTTCATTTTTGCCCAAACTCCTGGTATTTTGTGTCGATACGAAATAATATTTGAGAATAAACATAGCAGACCTTGTCAACTGTGATACTCTATGACTATTTCGATCTTATTTGACTTATGGCCTGGCACAATGAAAGTGAACATAACGTCTTAGCTTCTTATTCAGTTTAGAAGCAACAAAAACAAACAGTACAACTATAACTAAGAAGAAAAAAAACCAATAAAAATGAACTAAAAATGTATTATATATATTATATACAAAATAATATTTAACAGTATATGAGAATAGTTCAGGCTCGAGACTTGAAGATGATATAACAGACATGCTACTTTGAATGGGTGCTTAATGTTATAAAAATATTTTACACCCTTTATAAAAAAGCATATTTTAATAAAAGAAAGATTAATTTGAATTTAAAACATGTATTCTTGAATTTTATTTAAATCTTAACCTTTTAAAGTAAGAAATTAATTTACCCTGATTTTAATTTGAAATAGTTATATTTATAGTTTAGTTTAAACATATTATATTGCATCAAAAACATGTCAAATATCATACAAATGATGAGTATTTAACAAAAAGCAAATGGGTTGAGCAACAAGTACTAGCAAAATTAAATTAAGCCCCTCCCAGATCGATTTGAATCACTAGACTCATGGATGCGCGCGCATTTCTGACAAAGGCTGATTACTTCTGGTGTCAGCCGGATCAAGATTACCCATATTGTCTTATACCATTTATATATATATTGCTTAATTCCAATTTGAAACATTATTTCGTTTTAGGAAACCGCCATTTTCGTTAACACAGGAAGCTGTAGATGGGTTATATAATTGGTTCACGTGCAACATATCACGACTTCCGGTCATCGGATTATTTGATAGTTTTCTTAGTAAGTTTTCGTTTCTTACATTTTTAACATTTGTAGTAAAATATCTTTATATAAAAATAAATGCATAAACTTGTTTTATTAAAAGTCTAAACAAAATTCATATTAATCTGGTTTGGTCAAATATGACTTCCCAGGAAACTGGACAGGTTATGCCCCTTTTCATGGAGCATCTAAATCTGTGTAATTAACCAACATGCTACCTTTTACTAAATAAACCCCAAACATGAAGCATTCAAGCATGACACAAATTTCATACATTTATCTTCCACTGTAATAAATAGAATGCTAGAAGTTGTGTCTTATCTTTATTTAAAAAGAAACTTCGATTTAAGATATGTTTTAATGACTTCCATCTCTGTGATTGCAAATGGAATGATAAACAGCTGTTCTTGAGCACATTTAACATAAAACCTATGTTTTGATTCGGTTTGATTTGAAAAATATGTATCCACTCTACAAATGTCATTTATAATGACAAAGACCAAACATGGTTATGTACATTTACTTTATTATAAGTCACATGAAGCGATTTCTGTTAAACCGTTGTTTCAGTTTCATATTACTGCAAGCAATGTTGTAATAATACATGTATAATACTATTTACTTGAACTTATTTCCAGACATAGGTATAAAGACACGTGCAATGCAACCTTGTCTTCAGAAAGTTTACAATAAAACAAAAAGTAGGGAGAGTGCAATTAAAGTGTGTACAAAGCATCTAGAAGAAATATGTAAAGATTCTCCAGTACGTATTGTTAAAACAATCAGAATGGCTGTCAATGATGTTAAACACTTGTTAAAAGAATTGCCAACTTTAAAAATCGTGCATTTAGTTCGAGATCCGCGTGCAACACTTTATTCACAATATCATTTTGGAATGTGCAAACAACAACGAGGCGGTTGGCAATGGTGTGCGAACAATTTATGTAAAAGATTAGAAAATGATGTGTTAAAATTAGAAAGTCTAAAAATAAAATACCCTGATAGAATATTGAACGTTCTATACAAAGACATAGCAAAAGATCCATTGACAATGTCCAGAAAAATGTATGACTTTATAGGAGAAGATTTTACTAGGCAAGCCGAATCATATATTTACAATATAACAATGGCTGGGAATCAAAATAACTGTGCAATATGCACGACACGTTCGAACTCATCGGAGCACATTAATACTTGGAAAAAGAAGATGAATCAAGAATTTCTACAGATTGTTAATGAACGATGTAATTATATTTTAAAACGTTTGAATTTCGATGTTTTTCCAGCATCTCAATTGTGATGTTTTTTTGTGATTTGAAAAAGACCTCAGGTGATATGTACCATAGTTACTTTATCAATATTTATATTCTTTTGTTGAAAGCATCGATAGACAAACATTGAACATATCAAAACGTGTATGTAAAATATGATATCTTTTATCTTCCTCCTGCTCATCAATTCAAATGATTTTTTGCTGCAATATTTTTTTCGGCCGTCCCTAAATGCAGACGATCATTGTGTATTACATTTTAACAGTTGTGTATAAAATTTTAGTTGCACCATATTGCAAGCGATTATGTTGGCTAATTTGGTACACTTTGCGCGTTGCGTTGTCGATAGCGACGACACAACCTATATCGTTATCACCTTGTCGTCTTGTCGCTAGCGAAACGTGCCATTGAACGGCGCGTTGTCGCACTGTCGCCTTGTCGTCCTGTCTCTAGCGATGCACGCCAAACGACGCGATGTCGCTTAACCCTTTCCCCAATCCTTCTATTTGATCTGAACGATAATGTGACATCACGACAACACGCCGTACGAAACGCGCCATTTGGCGTGCATCGTTCGCGACAGGACGACAAGACGAAAGTCCGACAACGAGCCGTTTGGCGCTTTATCGAGCTTTCGCTAGCGACAACTCGACGCACAAAATCGTTCCAAATCAGCCATCATATGCGATAGATATCCGAATGATTCAAATTGCATTCAAGCAAAATTTTAAGTCAATACATACATAATTATGGTGTTTTATCAAATGAAGACGTGTCTATGAGTTAATAAATAAAAACAAGAACATTTTTAGTGAGGTCTCACATAAATGGTATAAGAATAGAAAAATAGAATAATATCTAGATTTTATTGGAAAAAATGATGTATTTAATATGTATTTGCATTAATGTTTGTTCTGAATTGCGTTTAATATTCATTTCCGTCCATGAACAGGCTTACACAAACTTGACGTTGAGCCGTTCTTAGCGATCTACTAGGATGTTTTATTCTTTATTTTATTGTATCGGTTTTATCAATACATGAAATATGTTACTGCTCATTATCATTATTAACAAATTAGAAGTTAGATGTTAGATTAATTCAATCCCATATCAACTAAGAGGATAGGTGATCTAGCGGTTGAGGTACCTGCCTCTCAATCCAGTGAGCCTTACTCGGATTGCTATGTACATTTTAAGAACTTATCTCAGTATTTGTGTTTCTTATGATTAATAGCGTAATCTCAAAATTCACTTTATGAAAATTTTGGAAAGCCCAAACATCAAAGAATAATATTAGAAAATACATGTACATTGTTTTTAAATTCTGATTGATAAAAAGATGACGAATCTTGCCAGATTCATTACGTGCACAAGTTTAAACCATAATTAATTTGCTTCAAAGCACAGAAGGCGCTGAATTTGTTTGGGTCTCATAATGTCAGATAGGTGAAGCTTGTGAGATTATAAACAAATTTGTTTTGTAAAGTGCCACCAATGTTGTTTCCAGTGTTATTACTGTAGTAAATTGGCTATAATTGCAACGCTGATAGTCAATTGAATGTTTATTTGGCTTAAACAATTAAAAAAAATAATAATAAAATAAAAATCAACAACAACAAACCAGACCGCTCGCTTCCTAAACGAGCGTGTATCCCCTCGATTAAGGGGAAGTTATAAGATGACAGCCTGAAGAAAACCACATTATTGTAAATAAGGGTTTGTAACCCTTATTAATTTCGAGATATTTTGTTCACGGTAAAAAAATCTGTTGTTTAACACTGATGTAAATAATCATAGAGCTTAATATAAGCATGTATATCTGTAAGATTAGATCTCTTCGACCAATCGAGAACTATTTTTTCTTCCCCGATAGGCTTGAAAATTAATGCACCCGTCATTTGACAATCTTTACGCAGTGATTTCTCCTTAATTTCCGGCGTTAGTGTACTTATAAAGGAAATTATTCGCTTCGCTGAGTTCGGACTACTTTCGGATTTTGCAAAAAAAGCATATCAGGATCTGAAGTCGCCAAAACTTAGTAGTCGCCAGATGACTGAACATGAACAGATCAAAGCTTTATATTTAGAGCAAAAACGATAAACAGCCTTCCATTTTAATATAAAAAACTTTCTGAACCCATAATATGTGAATTTGGTTGAAATGGCATTGTTGTAGAAAAAGCATTTCCACAAGTGCATATTTCAGCCAAATCGAAAATAGATATCATATTTTATCATTATTTTACGATACCTATCAGAAAATGGATTATGTCCAATATCAAGAGCATACAGCATGATATAGCTTTAAAAGGTGTTATAATCATTATATTAAATACGGACCTGTCTTCACGCTTCTTCGCACTGTAATAAGAAGGGTGTTAGACAGGTCGAACCTCCAGGTGTTACTGTATCGATGATACAACAACACTTTTGTAGTTTATTGTATTCAAAACCGATATTGTATTTGGCGCGGACTGTACAGTATATATACATATTTAATCATTTTATCTGATACACCAATTTCTGTTATCTTTTCGATATTATCTAACATTCACACTGACTGGTTTGTCAAATTCATACACAATTCTGGTGAATTATATAACCCCCGATAGCAGCAAAAAGAACAAACATGTTCAGAAAAAAACTCGCAGCCTCAGTTCGATTGAGTTCATTCAAAATGGCATCATCTCATAAAGTCGCTACTTTCGACTTACCCAGTATTCGATTTCCAACACGAGAACACTCGTAGTATTCGACTTAAGTAGGATTCATTCTTCAACACTAGATATATTTCGACTTTAGCAGAATTCAGCAGGATTCAAACTTCAACACTCAATTTATTTGAATTATTGATCACAGAAACCAAACAAAAATGTAATAAAGTCAAAATGAAAAACAAAATTAACTGGCATTATAAAACGCATGTACATAAACCGTGACGATATTTTTCTCTTTTTTCAACATGCTTCTCAATGTAAAGAACTGTCATAAATGTAGACGAGAAAAAAATAAATAAAAAACAAACGAAATGAAATATGTGTAATCAACTTTTCTTGCTTAAAAACATAAAGAGACCGTTTCAAAGTATTGAACAAATACGGCATTTCTAATAAAAAGGTTTCGATTGTAGATTTTCAATTGTGTGTAAGTCCAGTATTTGGAAAAAAATTGAACATCCTCTGAAATATCCTTTAATTCTACAGAATTTCTTTTCTAAATGATAATAATGACACAGAAATGAAAAATGCATGTATCTTGTGTGATGTACATTGTAAACTTCACCTTAATGATGAAGCTTCACGATTCGAGTTTCAAAATTAAATCTCGGTATTTCTGAAGGAGACTATCCGAAATGTAGAAAAATGTTCGTGAAAGTGCCGTTTTCCGGGCGCCTTAATGACGACGCTTTTGAATAAATAACATTGCAAACACCAACCGTTGAAACTTGATTACATAATTATCCAATGTTCAAATGACGTGAAATTTTACGCCAAGCTTCGGCAAATTCTGGGCAAGATTCATTTTTTGTATCAGGCATTTTTGATGTATTACAAAATGTCAACGTACGTCACGTTTTTAGCTGTGCCGCTGTGACATTTCCAAGGTTATGTAAGGCGGTCTGAGATGGTACTAATTGCCAATAAATCAACAATATTTTGCAATTAAATTAAAGAAACATCAATGTTTACACATAAGAAAATATTAAATTTATCAGACTTATAAAATAATTACGGGTAATTCTGTATCATCTGTCGTATCAAATTTTATAATTATATCTCTTAGAGATCTTTTGGTACTAAAATGGACAAAGATATTTGTCTGTATATCACATTTGACCGACTGCGTTTTTTCTCTTATATACATGTATGTACTTAACAATAGAAAATTGATAATTTAGTACCATTCTGCACTGTTCGCTAATCAGTCATTACATCTTTTTCCCTAATAAAGGATGATTTTTGTCGATATTGAAAGATATACCAGTCAATTTAATATATTAAGCATAGAAAGGGTAACAAATGAGGAAAGTATGTCTTGATTCTGTAAAGAATAGTAAAAATGACAATACTGAATCATTTGATAAGGTTTTTCCAATTTGAGATATATTCTTTTATGAGGATAACTATGTGTAGTATCGCATCTTCTCTCACTCACGGTTCAGCAATGGTGTTGACAACATCATTACAAAACTAGGTGTCGCTTTTATATCTATATTATTATATAATATGATATTGGAATAAAACGGCGGGAAACAAAACATGGGTGTTCCCGGCAAGAAAACCGTGCTCCCTGTGATCGGAATACTCTTTACCTGCTTGCTTATAACATTTTGTGAGTTATATTCTTATCTTATTATTAAAACTGTGTCATTTGTTGAAATTAGTTTTTAAATAATTCTTAGTTTTTGTTTGTTTTTCGTGTTGTGGTTTATTTTTATTAGTTTTGTGTTTATTTTTTATTGTTTTAGTTGTTGTAACATAACAAGATAACTTTATACATCGTCTACTTGTGTCAGTTTCAGTGTCAACAGTGTCAGTTTGAGTTTATTCGTCATATAATTTTAAGTATATTTTGTAGCATACCAATATAGATTTATCCATCGTTTACTTATCTTATTCTATTTGCATGTTTTAAATTGGGTCAATTAAAGAAATAAACTTAAAATTCGCGACAATAAAAGAAATTATTATATTGTTAATACGGTTAACTTACCCATAACACGATTAAATTATTCCATTAAGCCAATAAGAAACATCATAGCAAAACAATAATAATACCATGAAAAAATGAATTTTTTTATAAAAAAAAATAGCGGTCATTGGATTGTGTAATAGTTATGGGTAATCCAACTGATTTGTTATACAAAAATGTTCATGAGATCATATCAAATGCGTTGATAAATGATAAATGAACTATTTATTCGATGGTTCTACTCAAGTATGCAATAATGCACGGAGGATATCTAAGTTCTTCCGCCACAGTAAATCTGGGAAGTCGCCTTATGACCTTTTTTTACTACTGTGACTTAAAATACCACAACAAAAACAACATCTCATTATTACTTTAAATAAATAACAGAATTACAATAATGTTAGTTGTATTAAAATCAATATTGCAGCTTCATAGTCTATTCCTTTATTGACAATCAAGGTATAACAAGAAAATTTGTATGAGAAAAACATATATCAATTTAATAACATAAATTTCAAAAGGTAAACAATAAACATTTTGTCTCTTTTTCAACATTTTGTAAATTAGGAGTTATTTATTGCTTGTACTAAACAACATGTGTAAGTACCTCATTATAGACGATAGTATTGTGTATGTACATACGATATTGAGTCAGAAGATATAATTTGTCCGAAGAAAAGATGGTACTGCGTAGGAAGATAATATAGTATTGCGTAAGAAGGTAATATAGTATGGCGTATGAAGGTAATTAAGAAAGTATTGAGTCTGAGAATAATATAGTATTGCGTATGAAGGTAATATAGTATTGCGTATGAAGGTAATATAGTATTGCGTATGAAGATAATTAAGAAAGTATTGAGTCTGAAGATAATATAGTATTGCGTATGAAGGTAATATAGTATTGCGTATGAAGATAATTAAGATAGTATTGTGTATGAAGATAATATAGTATAGCGTATGAAGATAATTAAGAAAGTATTGAGCCTGAAGATAAAATAGTGTTGCGTATGAAGATAAGTATTGGTGTGCCAATACATTCATTCTTTTGAAAACACAATGCGATACATGTTTTAAATAGTCTGATAAATAAATATAAAAAAACAACAAAAAGTTGATATTAAATAAAATTTAATTGAAGTCAAACGACAAAATAAAATCTATGTAATATCAATTATACCTCATTTACATTATTTCTAAAACTTCACTTGCATTATCAAAAATGCCTGGAAGCTTTGTAATTCACCAGAGAACATCCGGATGAGTTAATATGTTTGGCATTTCCTACTGCTTTAAATGATCATGTTTTATAAAAGTCATCAAATTGGATTAACGAATCAGATCATTGTAAACAATTGATCAATTGTAAATCATCATTAGCTTTAAAAATGAACATGAGAATACTGTTAGAAAGAATTGATATAACAATACCGCCCGCAGCATATATCTAATGATGCATTTTAAGATTATGTATCTTATTGAGCATAGGGTATGTATTGAAGCATCAATAACTCTTTTCTTTCAAATAATGACGTCACAGCAGAAAAACACCGTATCACGTGACATATATGTGCACTAAAAATAAATAAAAAATAAATAATAAAAAACGTAATCCGAAAATTGCGGCAACTTTGGGTTAATTACGATGAAATAAGTATTCTGTTCTGTTTTGTTCTACAACAATATTAACCGATTACTCTTTTAACCTTTCATTGATGATTCCTTGCCTGTAAACATCATTTCTATTGGAAAACAAAACGATTACAATAATGAAGAAAGGTTCATAGGCATCTATAGACCACATTTATCATCATTAAAAAGTTTGCAAAACAAAATATAAAGTTCTACAACACTCCCATTTTTTCTTTTAGTTAATTCATTGTCGTATACCAGTTTCACATTTCTTCTTACCCATTTCTGCGACGGCTTTTTAAGATTGTTAGATTATTTTTTTCGGAGGTAGTGAATTTATTCTGCAGTTGCCCCGTTCCAGAAGCGTTCCTAGTTATTTTATATTTGGCGTGTAGGGCACCAATACATGGGACTCCATATTAAAGGTCAAGAAACGAACCAGCTGCCCCTTAAATACTTTAAGGGGTCCCTGGTTCGATTTTCAACTTTTAAAATAGAATATCAATTTCAAGAAATTTATGAAAATATATATATCATATTTCTTTATATATTTCTTAAAAGAATATTTGGACATTTAAAAAATGTTGTTTGTTTTTTTTTAAGAAACGAAAATGTACTGATTTTTTATTTCTGGATTATTACCAGTATGGAAGATACACCTGTTGTACATGTTTCACAAGTGTGAAAAAATACCTAATTGAATTTCAATTGTTAAAAGCGACTGACAATTGAGCTGGTTTGAATGACTTTATTGCTGTTTTATTACTTTAAAATTAAATTTAAACCATGAGAAACAACGATGAGTTTTGTTCGTTCTAGCTGTCGTTGTAAAGATATGTACTCGAACGAGTCGCAGTAAAATGTTTTTGATAAAAATGCAAAAAGGTCAAAAAGGTCATAAACATTATGCTAATTTCAAGTTGAATTTGATATGTACGTACCATGGAAAGTAGTTTTTTAGTTAATTGCGCCAGTAGAAAAAAAATCTTTTAAAACTTAAATATATAAAAATTATGACGAACCGGGTTTTTTTCTCTTTTTTGTTTTGTTAATTTTGGCTTTCATTAAATATAGAATGAAAGCTGGCAAAAACAGCTTTTCAAACAGATAATACACTGAAGCAGTCATAAGTTTTATCTAATTTGAATCAAAGGCTCGTGACATACGCAAACACGCCTGTCAAATCAGGATATAATCTGATAACATACTTTTACATTTTGTCCTTAACGTCTTCACATTATGATATTAATTAAGGATACGGTAATAATGATGTGTTTTTTAATAGTCATACATGTATACTAGTAACCTGTTACATTTGACCTTTAACTTGATTTCTGTACATTTTCGACATCAAAAGATTGTTCTCGCCAATGATGAGTTAAAAAAACAACACACGTTATTGTCTTTTCTCTTAATGACTTTACACGGGTCAATTATTAAATAGAAAAAAAAAGATGATGTTATAAATATGCGTCTATAGCAATAAATATGAACTTGAATACAATAAATATAACCCCAGTTAAAGTAAAATTTTTCCCACCAGGAACTTTGGATGCTTTCATGTAAGGAGGAATTATGCTAGCTTACGGA